AAAAAGTATGTTTTTTTTCAACATATGGTGTTACCCTTGTATGGGAGGGGGCCCTAGAGAATGTTGCATATCCCAGAAAATCCACTTAGAGAAAAAATTGAAAATACATGTGCAGCAATCTGAATGACCAAGGTTTCCCATGCAGCAGTTTGCTGTACTAGTAAATGTCTGGAAGCCAATGGTCACCAGTTGAGACTGCACTCAAATTCCCTGCCTTGTCTGGCCTATGACCTCATTCTTGGGGGTACACTAGATTTCATCTGATTCCATCAGGGGTAGCTATTTTATCTGAAATGGGATAAACAGATTTTTCCTTGGAATTTTTAATCAGAAAGGAGTGATTCTATAAAGTGTTAAATTATTGCATTAACATAAAAGATAGAATAATCTGGGAAGGCTTTTTCTTTTCTGTTTTGTACACAGAGATGGAAAGTCATCTCTAGAAAGGGAAACTTGAAGAAAGAACTTATAGGGAGGAGGTAGAAGAAGAGGGGGAAGGGGGAAGGGTGAAGAGAGAGAAGAAGAACAAAGCATCCCAAGGTCCAGTGTGTGGAAAATGTTCAGATATGAGAATTTTATTCTTGGACATTTTATTTACCTGTGATTCACATAGCCAATGTCTCCTTAGGGAATATATGCTTGGACTCATCAGATTGACAAAATATAAAAGGCAGATAAAATTCAGTATTTGTGAGGATGCTAGAAATGTATGTCTCATATGTTTCTGGTGGAAATAATGAATTGCTCTTTAATATCTAGACAAATTAACTAGCTATCTAAAACATTTACAAAAATATTTTCACATTTAAAGTTTTTCTAGTAAATTTTAAGTTTCCTTAATCAAAAATTAAATGATCATATTTCATAATTTTATAACAATTTTTTAAGCTGCAACTTAAAATGTGCTTTAAGCAGCATATTTTATTTCACTAAGCCCAAAAATGTATGTGTAAATTTGAGTTGCTAGAGCAACATTTTATGGCAGATTACTATGTTAAGTTAAAAAATGGGAAAGAGGAAAATGGTAAGCTCAGCTGTTTACAACTCATATCACCGAGTCTCTGCTCTGTAATATTTTTAAATCAAATGCAAAACATAAGTTGGCTCAATTCTTTGGGATATCCAGGATACTAGAGAGGTAGCAGAAAGTTTTTCTAAATGTTCTTAATTGTATTAAATCTGTGTAAACTTTTTGAGGACAATGTGTAGGATTCTGAAGAATCTAAGAAATTTTCATGCTCAGAGTAGAATTTACTTTTTATTTTAAAAATTTATCCAATTCAGGAATGGAAGAAACTCAAGCCCATTATATTTCTAGCAGTTAAGACATAAACCAAGTCCCTAGGGTTGATATATATCATTTGTTTGTGTGGTAACCTCATTTGCAATAACAGCCTGAATACTGCTATTAAATATTAAAGAAAAGCAGAACTGTTTGGAATTTGGTTTCACAAGCTTTCGGCAAATCTTGCCCCTGATTTCTTTTCTGGTCTTAAATCCTATATCTAGATAGTTAAAGAAGATGCCATAGACTGAGATTTCCTTTCTTATATTTTCAAACATAGGCACACCTAAGGATTTTAGTCATTCTTCCTCTATGCAGTCTCCCAAAAAGATGTAGATTTACCAGTACTGGGGCACCCGCACTGTAAAGTATAGTAAATTTTCTTACCTAGTTAGTCTAACTTAGTTCCTTTTCCAAAACAGGTGATGTGGGAAATGATAGAGGAAGGGAGGAAACAGCAAAGTATGGTCTGTAGTTGTAACCCACAGTCCCCAGATTGGTATCCTAGGTTGATTTTGCATGGTAGGGATCCTGATGCAAATTTCACCTGTGTATATATGATCAGGATTTTAACTCTTCCAGGTTCCAGCCTCCCAAGATGCCTGATGTGTTAATCAACTGACATGAGGTGAGGAAAAGCATGAGAGTATATTATCATTCAGTATGTTATCCTCAGGCACTGAGTTCAGGAGAAAAAGAAACAAGAAAGGTTAAGGAATCTTTTAACTGAGAAATAGTAAGTAATCCTTGAAACAAAGATGGAGATGAGAGAAATTCTCACTGCTTCATTTGTGCAAATATACCTAGAGCATCTTTTGGAGAGTGATCAGTACTTGGAAAGTGACAATCAAAGAGGAATGGTGAAATGTATTGAAGCAGTTTGGGGGGCAGTGGGCATTGATGGTGTGGGTGCTGGAGGAATACAACCAACAAACAAAATCAGATGAGATAATTCTGACAGACTTCATCACCAGCACCTAGAAGACCCCTATTGTAAACTTTTGTTTGTTTGTTTTTTGGTACCGGAGATTGAACTCAGGACCTTGTGCTTGTGAGGCAGGCACGATGCCACTGGGCTAAATCCCTGGCCCCCCCACATTGTAAACTTTTTACTTACCCTGGTGAGTATATGAGGGAGAGCTAAATGTCATGCAGTGGAAGATACAGTTGAGGGGCATAGGATTATGAGTCAAAATGATTTTAACATGACTTAATTTATATAGTGGTCACTTGCCTGTAGCTGGGATAAAACATCTGACACACAAAAATTTAAAGCAAGTTTATTTTGGCTCACCTTCCAGAATATTCAGTCCATAGTTGGTTGACTCTAAGGCAGAAACGGAATGGTGGAAAGGTATGGCAGAAGAACACTGCTCAACTGATGCAGCCAAGAAGCAGAGAGAAAGGAAGGGACAAGGACAAGAATTCACCTTTCCAGGTCACTCCCCCAGTGACTCACCTCTTCTCACCAGGCTCCACCTCTGAACACAAGATTTAGGGGGATATTTTAGATATATACCATAACAATTTGTTATCCATGGATAGTGAAATTTCAGGAATGTGAGCTACACCTGTAATTTTTAATTTTTTTATTGCTTCTCAATCCTACGTAAGCTTGAGGTCCTAAAATAAATGTTAAGTGTAAATTGCATACATTTCTTCTGTACCCTTTCCACCTCTTACTCTCTCAGGATGTTGTTCCAGCAGCGGTTTGGTGGCATGACATGGTGTATGGTGCGTACTTTCTTTAGCTCACACAGGTGCCAATAGTCCTCTGTCTTGGTCAGTACAATTGCCCATCTTATATTCATCTAGAACACTCCTGTTTTTCTTCTCTGAGCACCAGGTCCAACAATGAGCTACTCAGGCAAAGTGGACTAGACCTTCCCCTAAACATGCATTTGTCTGATGGAATGAGTTAGCCATTGTGGCTAGGGTATTTGTACTTTTTGCTAGATGGTTCCTGGAAAACGAGAGACAAGTCTTCTTGTATCTTTCCACTCAGTAGGGGAAACTCCAAGACAAATCTTGATTACCACCAGTACAGGACATAAAACAGAATCAGTGAATTGGTGACGCTTCCTCATTTCTAATAATAGAGGTCAGAAGAGAGAATGTGAGTAAAGCACAAAATTTAACAGGTAAAGAGGCAGTAGCTCACCTACTGTCAATGTGGGACAGTGTGTTTATGTGCACATGGGTCCATGGGGTAGGTGTTAAGTGTAAGCAGAAGCCCTGGACTCAAGGTTATAGACAAAAACTTTGTTCTATTCTGTGGTTGCTTAGGTCAGCTTTTTGTTGCTATGACCATATACCTTAGAAAAACAACTCAAAGGAGGAAAGATTTATTTTGGTTTATAGTTTCAGAAGTTTCAGTCCATAGTCTGCTAGTTCCATTGCTGTGGGCATAAAGTGAGTCAAAATCATTGTGGTAGCAGGACACAATGGGAGGAAAGCTGTTTAATTCATGCCAGCCAGGAAGAAGAGAGAGAGAGAGAGAGAGAGAGAGAGAGAGAGAGAGAGAATGAATATGTAAGAGTTGTAAGAGAACTGGAGAAGGAGCCAGAGATCAGGTGTAGTCCTCAAAGTTCCACCCCTATGATCCACTCCCTTTAATTAGGCCTCACCTCTCATTTCCCTCACCTCCCAATAATACCATCAAATTAGGGATTCGAGAGTATATTAAAGTTAAAACCACTATGATCAAATTATTTCCTCAAAGACCATCAGCAACTAAGTCTTCAACGCAATGGAGCTTTTTGGGGGACATATAATATCTAAAGCATAACAGTGCTTATAATATTAGAATAGTCAGTCTGGTTATTTGTGCCAGTTCATACTCAGTCAAACATTTTACTTATCAATAGTTGAGTCTAAAAGAGTTACCACACAGCAAAATTGCAGACAAACTAGAACACTGTTTTATGATTTATCACATGTAAGTTATTTATTAATAAAAGTATTACTTTTCTCAGGAATTCAAATTGTGCACACTGATGATCTCAAATGCATACAACACTACTTTTAATGTAGAAAACAAGAACCATTTTTACAATACTTCAAATTAAAAAATTGAATTTTATATAATGTTTTAATTGCTTAATAACAAGTGTTTGTATAAATTTAAATTTAAGATAATTCCAATAGACAACAATGTTTCAACCCAGAGAGAAGCTGATGGTCTCAGTCAGGGCCAGCTGACCCCATTTTGTTTCACACTAATCTGATATCTAGACCATTAAATATCTGTCAAGAAAATCCCAATCACCCTATATCATCAATTTTGTTGTTGCTCAGAAGACTTTTCAAGGTTGAAAGAAGTGTTTATATCACCTAATATAAACATTTCTAACAGGGAAAAGGCCCACCCTCCAATCAATGTCATTTCCCAAGACCTTCCATGAGGCCCTTACTTATCAAGTTATTCTCTTATTCAGCTATTTTCCTATAATTTCAAACCTGGGTTCATCAAAAAAAAATATTTTGGAGAAAGCAAGACTCCCTCTTACAAAGAAATTTTTACTAATAGTAGCTTCAAATATGAAAATTTCTCTATAGATCACAATCTACAAAAATAAATCAGCATTTCATTCTCTCTCTTTTGCCTGTCCCTACTGATGAACACAAGTTCATCTTTTGTACACAAGTTCTGAAGAAACATATATTTTAGTTTCTAGCATATTGTACAGTATCCTTGTTTCTTCTTATATGCAGTACTACAATTTCAGAGAGGGCAGAGTGAAGACGAAGTCTCCCCATGTGCTTCCTGAAAGTCACGTACAGTGGCTGCCAAACTCCACTGGTTCTCCTAGGTAAATCTCTTCTAGATTTGACATGTTCTCTGCTTTCTTTTTTCCAACTATGTTGCAATCTAAGTTAATGTGACAATTGAACTCATTTTTTGTGAGGCACTCTAGATTGACGATTGGCTGGGGAGGAGGAGGAAGGAGGTACCAGTGGGTATGTGTGTGTTAAAGATGGAGAGAGAATGAGAACAGTCCTATATTGACTTTGGTCCCTCATGAACACAGTGCCTTACTGTCTATGCAAAGCCAGCCTGTGTAGGACCTAAAATGACTCCATGAATAGAAAGATTTTACAGAGGTGAGGAATCAGTTAACCCCTGGGACAGAAGGGTTTCCCCATAACCCTGATGCAGTACTATGGCCAGTGACAAGTTCACACTAATGGCCTATCAATTGTTACATATTTTGAATACCAACTTGGTGGAAAGGTTTCAACTCCTTTCCAGACGTAGCCCTGTGGGCACTATGTCCCTATTCCTCATTCTGTATCTAATCTACAGATGCTGAAGTGATGAGGTTTCCAGAGTCCTACTCCCTCTGCAAGTCTTCCTATGCTTGCTGTTTCTCCATTCAGCTCTTGAAGAAATGCCAAGAGATGCAAAGCTTCAGAATCTGTTTCATTTTTAGAAAGTCGTTTTTGGGCAATTTTTTGCAGTTTGATTTTCATCTTCTCTCTCTCCTTTGATTCCAGGTTAATTTTTACTCCTTCTATAAAATGGTGGATGGCCTTGTCTGCCCGTTTCATCTGATACAGCTGGAAATTGCCATACCGCAGATGGAGCGCTTGTTTAGCTACAGGAGCAAGCTCTTTGCTGAATTCTTTTTGGAAGTAATACTCTGCTTTCTCATAGTAACTGGCTTCCTTGTATTCACCTGCTATAGCATAGAGACTGGCAATAGAGGAACAGATACAGAAGAAATTCCCATTGTTCTCATCAGCTTTCTTTAAATACTCCACAGCGAGTTCTACTTGTTCCAGTAACTTCTCTCTTTCCCCATACATTTTATTCTCTATCTCCAGTATTTGGAGAGCTTGTGACCTATAGCAGCTCCCAATATGGTAATGCAAGTAGGTGTTGTGTGGCATGTGTTCTAAAGCTTTTCTAAGCAGTTTTATGGTTTCATTCCAGGAACGTTTATTTCGATAAAACCTTGCTGCGCTGCACAGTACATCTGTTGCATTTGGGGCTTTCTTTAAGGCTTCTTCAACAAGCCTCTCTCCTTCATCCTCCTCCTTCATCTTTTGAAGTTTCAGAGCCAAGAGAACTTTAATGTACTGGTTGTCAGGATTCAGCCTGATGGCTCTCCTCAGAGCGTCAATGGGGTCCTGAGAGGGTGGCCAGTAGTCCAGACGGGAGCTTGCAATGGCCCAGCCAGAGGTGAATTCTGGGTTCTGGGGATTCTTTTCCAGAGCCTTCTCAAAACACACCTTTGCCCTTTCAGTTTGCTTTGTTGTACACTTTAGCCGTGCCCACCCTTCCTCACAGTCAAGCTCGGGACTCTCAATTCTGTAGGGACTAGAAAACTTCGCACAGACCTGTTTCACCTTGTCCACATAAGTCTGAGCATCTGAGAGTTGGCCCAGGTGATAGTGGACCCAGGCATAGTTTCCCCAGGTGACCAGACTTCGGATTTCCTGGCCAGGATGTTCTCGCTGGATTATCTCTTCAGCCTGCTGTAAGCATTCCAGGGCTGCCTCATTTTGGCCTCTGCAGTGCTTTATGTAGGCCATTATGTTACATGTTGTGGCTTTAAATTCGCCATTCTGAAACTCATACTTGTGCAGCACTCTGTCCTCAAACTCATCCAAAGACTTTTCCCCTATCAAGTTCCAGGTGAAATGACATTTTAATTGCCGTAGGCTGCTCTCCAAGGAATTTTCAGTGGCCTCACTGTAGGGAAAAAGAGAAAGACGGCCACTTTGAGACACAGTACAGATTCATATGCCAAGAAACAAGATGACAGCAAATAAAATTTTTTTCTGGAAAAGCAAGAATTTGGACACTATGGGCAGCAGAAGAATTAGAGAGAAGGAGGTGGGTCAGTGTGAGCCTGAGGGTCAGTTTCCATAAATATGATGGTTTTTGTGGGTAGCTCTGGCTCTGCTTTGGAGGGTCTTTGCAGGGCTTGCTTAATCTGTGGGAAATTTAATTAATAAAATTTTAAATTACTTTTTATTTCCCTTAATTATTTTGGCTTTTATTTTTGGTACTGGGGATTTAACTCGGGTCCTTGTGCTTGCGAGGCAGGCAGCAGAACCACTGAGCTAAATCCCCAGACCTATTTTGGCTTTTAATACATGCTTAATGGGTTTTATTGTCTACCAAACTTTTTGAGCTTTTATCAAATTGAATTTGCTTTATCTTTTTTTAAGCATTATACACTCTCTTTTTTGCCATTGAATTTTTCTATTTCAACCATTTAAGTCTTGTTTTCAACCATTCTTAAATTTTACTCATACTATTTGCTTTTGCAGTATTTTCTTAACTTTACTATTATAACATGTATTAGCAATATCTTGAATTTTTATTTTGGAATAAAATGCAATCATTTTTCTTTTTTCTCCCTTACTTCTACCTCTTAGAGTGGTAATTTCTATGTTAACATGTATTGTTGAGCTGATTATTTATTAATAATTTTGCATTTCTGTTTAATTTTATTGGTATTTTATTTTTCTCTGCTAGGATTTCCTTTTATAGTATGAGATGAGAAGTATGGCTGGTGGGGGCGCTAATAGGCAACTAGCTCTTTTTCTTATGGGAAGAGCTCTGTTTCCTTTAGAGTGCCCATATAACTCTCCTCAAAGATTTTCCATTCTCTTAAAGATTCCCTTCACTGTTGGTCTCTAAATAAATAAATAAGCAACAACAACAAAAATTAGCCAATAGAAAAATGAACAAAAAATATGTTCTCTTTGCATTGGAGTCCCTGAAAAGTTGCCATTTTCTCACTTAAAAGTTTTTCATGGTATAGCCCTTTTCTCAGGAACAAGATATTCTAAATATTATGAATTTCTGATGTATGCAACCAATAGATATGTGGACAGCCACGCAAAGCAGCCAGGATCACTTTGAAATTTATGTCTAGATGGAAGACTGTATTCCTACTCTTTCAACTTGCCCTATCTCTTTTCCTTTTTTTTTTTTTTTGGTACTGGGGGATTGAACTCAGGGACCTCAAGCTTGCAAGGTAGGCGGTGGTACCACTGAGCTAAATCCCTGGACCTCTCTTACTTTTTAATATCATACCTCCTCCGGCCACACACATTTTGATGGGCCCAAGGTTTGGCAAAGCTGGAAAACATGTAAGGAAGTCTGAGGAGGTGTTCATCTGTTAGGAAGTGTGCTCTGTACACTGGGAGCAGAGGGTGATCTTATTCTGTAGGAATCACCATATTCTATAATGCACACAGTAGAGAGCTTGACCCAGACACACAGGGAGAATTCACAGGGTCCAAGTCCCCACTGTTCCATCCTAGTCTTTGTGAAGTCCCTGCAGTCCTGCCTTTAGATCCTGGGAGGCACATGAGGAACTTTAAATCAGTAATTGATCATCTCTGTTTCTGGGGACTTAACTACCATCAGAGTAAACAAAAAATAAATAGGAGGGAAAGTGGGCAGGGAGGTTTTGGGAGAGGCCTCCTTCCTTTCAATGTCCCAGACAGGTCTTAGTATAGAGCAAGTAGTAACTAACTCCAGGGGAGGAAGCCCAGGAGAGAGCTTGGCTTGGTATCTGATATCCTAATGACAGCATCCTTCCCTTGAGAAGTCCATGTCCGAACTGAGCTATTTCCCTTCTCAATGAGATTACAGAAAGATTCCTGAAGCACATGAACTCTTTTGGTGCTTTCTAATTTTATAAAAGAAAGAGAATGATGGAATGGAGCTTATCTCCAGAGCTGAGTGTGGTAATACAATGACTATAATCCCAACTTCTTGGGAGGTTGAAGCAGGCAGATGGCAAGTTTGAGGCCACTGGGCAATTTAGTGAAGCTGTCTCAAAATAAAAAGGCCTGGAGATGAGCTTAGCAGAGCATCCTGGCTTCAATCCCCAGTACTGAATGAACAAAACAAAATACGGTCAATTGTGCATTTATAGGGACCTTTATGTAAAATTCCTTTGTGCAGCCATTCAAAAGTCATCTATTTTCACTGCTTGCTCTTGGCTTTTTATTTCCACTGGTAAGTCAGCAAAGCTGGTCTCTGATACTTGCTTCCTGGGCTCAGGCTTTTGAAACTTATGGTCCTATTGATTCTAGCAGTTCCAATGGTTTATACTGCAACAATTTCTTCATCTGCTTCTTGTTTGGATGAAAGCCACAGGAATACTACCCACCAGGCTCAGAGGGACCACCACAGTGTCTTAGAGCAGTCTCAGCATCACTGAGGAGGCTAACAAATGTGCCCAGTCTCAGCTCAGTCTAATAATCATATTCCTGTGTGTGTGTGTGTGTGTGTGTGTGTGTGTGTGTGTGTTGTGGTGGGGTGTTGAGCCCAGGAATCGGTCTGTTGCAAAGTTCTCCAGATGATTCTATGCATAAGTTTGAGAACTATTGTCTAAGACCACAGAGACAACACCCTAAGGAAAGACCCACAACTAAGAATTAAGGGAAGTAATAAGAGGGATTGATTGACTTGTATTTGTGAAAAAAAAAAGATTCTAAAATAAGACAATGCCAAAACAGAACAAAACAAAACAAAAAACAAGGTTTCTAAAGATTCTGGATGACTATAAAAACAGAAATCTACAAATATCTCAAACCTCTTTTCCTCCTCAATCAGGTAGGTATATACCCTAGCAGAAAAATATGATTTCAAGTAGATCAGGAGACTTAGAGAAGGAGAACAATTTGCAGGTATTGCTGGATTTCAGAACTCTCAGGTCTGAGCCTTAGGCAAGCAGGTCCAGTCATCCTACCCTCAAACTAGAGAAAATAGAAAGTTCTCTTATTTCCCAATGAGCAAACACTTCCTTTCCAGGGCAATCTTAGTTTCTGATGAACAAGTGGATTTTCGAGGTAAGCACTATTTTCTTCATGCACTCCATCTCCAATGGATACTTCAGATAAAAGGACTCCAGCTAATTAGTTAGATTTTTTTTCAGTACTGGGTATTTAACCCAGGGCCTTCAAACTGAACTACATTCCTAGCCTTTTTTATTTTTCATTTTGAGACAAGGTCTCACTAAGTTGCTAAATTGCCCAGGCTGAGGTTAAATTTGTTATCTTCTTGCCTCAGCCTTCCAGAGTGCTGAGATTGCAGGCATGCCTACCACACCCAAGCTCCAATCAGTTTGGAGGTGAAAATATTTCTATTCAGTTACTAGCCCTAATGGAAATCTGAGATGAATAAGTTTCATGTTAAAGTAAATTTTAAAGTAAAATTCACTTTAGCTGGAAGTAGGATTGCTATTCTGCATACACCTTTAACAATACCTACTGAAAAGAAATCTTTTACTAAATAACACTTTTATTAAAATCTCCAACTTAATCCTTTCAAATAGAAAGCAAAAGAGGGACAGTTCATAAGAGCAATCCCCCAGGCTCATCTTTACACTTACACCCCTCCCCACCCCCTTACGTATGCGCGCGCGCACACACACACACACATACACAGGCACTAGATTAAACCTCTCACTCTGCCAGCTTCTGAATTAGACCTCAGCTCTCTGCTTCCCTAAGTGAGCCCTAGAGATATCCGCAGGAAGCTGGACTGTGCGACTCACAGGAGGAAACAGATAGGCATTGATAAGACTCATAGCTATAGAGTTAGAGGGGTAGCAAGCCTATAAGCAAACACCGACACAGAACTGGCCTTGCTTAGAGCATCGCTGTTTAAGATTTGCATTAGATGACAAAATTCATTCTACATTTTCAACGTGATCAGAGAAGGGAGAAGCTTTACCTCATTATTGCGGTGCAGTTCTTGGCTGCGGCCAGAGGCTACAGTTCAGGCTGCTGTGCTCTTCAGAAATTTTCCTCCTCTGTCTCCAGTAAATCCTGGAGACCCATATATAAGAGCAGCATCTGGTTTCTGTTTCTGTTTCCTTTCAGTTGACTTAATCAAACACAAATTGAAACAGGAATGTGAAACTGCAGGACTCTTTGCAGAGAAAGGACTCTTACATAAGGGCCAAGCTTGTGGCGTGAATCAGAATGTATCCATGTCCTTTACTTGCAATATCCTCCCCTTGAGCAGTTCTGGAGATGCTTGTAGGAAGCTGGACTATGTTACTCAGAGGAGGAAACAATTGGGCATTGATAAGACACATTTCCAAAGCAGCCTTCCTCATTATTACCATATTGATCCATCCTCATTCTTATCACCCTTATGACACACAGGCCACTATACAGAGCAGTTAACATCCCAGGGCAAGGATTTTAGTCTGCTTCATTCACTATCAAAGCCGCAGCTCTTGCACTAGTATGTATACATTGCATGGTACGGTAAGCAGTCAAAAAGCAGTCATGCAATGAATGAACACATGGTTCAAATCATGGGTGAGGATGTCAGTCTATCTGCATTTGAAGTCAGTATCTATTTATATACCATGGGAATCTGGGGAAATTATTAAATGCCTCTGCTTTAGTGTCTTCTCTTAGGAATTGGGAACAAAACTGCTACCAATTCATAGTGATGATGGAAGGGTTAAACAAATACATAAAATGTCCTTAGAATGATGCCTGACAACTAATAACTATATGTTAGCTTTTTATTATAATTAATAATTAAAATCATAAGCCAAAGAGACCAGAGAGGAAACTTAAGTTTGTTTTTTCCAGAGCTGTAAATCTTCAGATATCCCATGATCCACCTGACCACTACTCTAAGCCAAACAACTTCTAACATCTGTATACATTCTGTGCTTCCATGAGATCCACAGCATTTTAAATTCCTGTGTATCACCTTGTTATTTAGCACTCACACATCACAGTATGCAGTCACATTTGTTTGCGATTATAGACAAACGTGTTCCTTATTCATATCTGTTAATCTTGGTTGTCAGTTTGACCAAATTGAGAGACATCCAGAAAATTGGTAAAGCAGATTTTTGGGTGAGTCTTTAGGGTATTTCTAGAAATGATTGGTAGATAGGTTAGCAAAGTGAGTTGGAAAGACCCATCCTGAATATGGGCAGCATCATCAAATAGGCTGGAGGCTCAGGTGGAATAAAAAGCTGAAGAAAAGGGAGGCTTAAATGACACCCACACTCAACACTTCCTGCGCTGGTACATTTTTTGTTGCTAACATTTCCTGTAGACATCAAACTCCAGATTCTTCTGACTTTGAATGCATATTTGTACCAGCAGTCATCCAGGGGGCTTTCAGGCCTTGAGCCTTGGACTGAGGCTACATTATTGGGCCTGCTTATTCTAAGGTTTCCAGCTTCTTAGAGTGAGCAGCTACTGATTTTCTCTGGCTGTCCAGACTATAGATGGCTGCTGGAGAACTATTCAGTCTCTGATTATGTAAAGAAATTTAATAAATCCTCTCATAACTACATCAATCCTATTGGTTCTATATCTCTGGAGAACCTCGACTAATAAAATACTTTTAACCACAAAGGGATTGTAATGCACATAGATCCAAGGGGGAAAAATGGTAATAGCACCAATGCTTTTGACATCAGGAAATTACACAGCCCAGGTGAAACATTCTCCAGTAAAATTGAGGTTGTTGAGGTTGGTTGCTCTATCTTGGAGAAAGGTATTTATCATGAATTTTTCTGCCTAGGCAGGGAAGAAAGAGAAGCTGAGCTTCCTAAATTCCTCTACCCTTTGCTTAGGATACAGTTGTACCTCCCCAAGTTGGAAACTAAGTCTCACTCAAGAATGAGAAGTCCTAGTTCTGCTTACAAGTTCTAGTATGTATTTATAAAAATATGTATTTTAAAATGCTGAAATAGAAAACTAGAAATACTGTGGATTTTGTTTGGGTTTTTGGAATTCCACTCAAGAAAACTATTGGATAGAAATGTTTAAAGTATGGCTAAAGGTACTGGATAGGGAGAGAGAGACAGGTTTTACCAATGGTCAGTGCATTCTAAAGTGCCTAGAGATAACTTATTTACTCTTTAGAAAGCTGTATGACCAAAGCCTGTGTACAATGCTGCCACAGCAGTAATGAGAATACATGGTGCAACTTCAGAACAGAAACTAAGGAGGATGACCAACTTCTCTATTTTGAGAGAAACATTGTGAAAGTTCTGATTGCTCTGCTTACTACATGTATTTATGTGTCTTTTTTTCTAGAATACAGGCCGAAGGCTGCTCCTGTGGCAGCCTGATTTAAAGGAAAGGATTTCTTACTCTTCCCAGAATGAGGAAAACCATCTTGCATAGTTATACTGGCTACAGGGTGGTATAATGCAATTCCTTTCCCTTTGTGATCAGCAGCATCAGCTGCAGCATTGTCTTGGAACTTGCTAGAAAGGCACATTCTCAGGCCCTGACCTAGACCAACTGAAGCAGAAATCCATGTTAATAAGCCTTACAGAGAACTCTAATGCATGCTATAGGCTGAGAACCATGTGTCATATTGAATGCAAGTGAAAATACTTTTACTTATGAAACAATACTTTTTCCTTGGGGTTTTCTAGAAATTGATCCCCTTTTTTGTTTTGTGTTTTGACCCTCTTTTTCTCATTTGTGTTTTATTTTGACTCTCTTTTTTGTTTTGAATGTTTGTCTAAAGTTTTGCCTACTAGAAGAACTGGAACCTAGTCTAATAGTATTCACACTTGTTGGAGGAACAATCAGGTATCCTTAGGGTTCTCTGATTCACAACAATGAACTATAATTTGTGAATAATGTGTTTCTACCTAACAGAACATACTCTTCTGTGATCACTTGCAAATAGACATGTGTTTAATCTTCCAAGTAAACTTCAAAAAATTGATATACTTAATAAAACACCTTCCCACTCCTGTTTTATTTTAAAAAATTGCTATAGTTTGGCTAAGTGTCCCCCAAAAGGCCATGTGCTAAAAGTTTTGCATGTCAACCTATGGGACTATTGAAAGATGGTGGCACCTTTATGAGGTGAGCCTAGTGGCAGGAAGTTAGGTCACTGGAGGCATACCCTTGAAAGGGACTTTGGGACCCTGGCCTCTTCCTGTCTCTCTCTTTGCTTGCCAGCCACCACAAAGTGAACAGCTTCCTCTACTACACTCTCCCTGCCTTGTCATAGTTCCAAAGGCAATGGGGTCAAGTGACCATGAACTAAATCCTCAAAAGCATCAGCCAAGATAAATCTTTCCTCATTTTAAGTTGAATATCACAAGTATTTTGTCACAGTAATGGAAAGCTTACTAACACAAAAATGAATTCAACCCTATTTCTTGTCACTGTGATTTGAATGTGTCCTCTGAAGTTCATGTGTTGAGAACATGATCCCCAACATGTCACTGTTGAAGGTGGATCCTAGTGGTAGGTGCTTGGGTCATGGAGGACAATGACCAAAAATGATTGGATTAATGCTATTGTTGTAGGATAGAATCCTTACAAAAAGACAAGATTGGCTCCATTATGTCGTGTGAGAACAGTGAGAAAGCAGCCACCTACAAGCCAGGGAGAGAGGCCTCACAGAAACCAACACCAACCTTGCTGGTGCTTTGGTCTTGGACTTTCAGCCTCCAGAGCTGTAAGAAAATAATTCAGCTAGGCTAAATGCAGGGGACCATTTCTTTTCATTCCAATTAGATTCATTCTTAGATTTACTCAAGAGTTAGTCCTTCCTGGGCCCGGGATTTAGCTGAGTGGTGCCATGCCTACCTTGCAAGCACAAGGTCCTGAGTTGGGTCCTCGATACTGCAAAAAAAAAAAAAAAAGAAGAGTCCTTCCTGACCATGTGTCCAAACATGCATTTCAGTCAGTGATATGGATGCAAATAGACATCTTTCAGGAGTCCTTTCATAAGGACAGAATGTACACAGAGGATTAATTTTATTCCACAGTGAGCTTTTTGTATGCCTAAATTTGGGCTTATGAGGAAAGTGCTATCTGTGTCAAGGTCCCAGTTGATTTGTTTTGCTGAGCTGGCTTTTAGGACAGATTTAAGAATTAAAATAACTCAAACACATCCTACTCTCTACCTAGATGGGTACCACTGGATGTCATGACCCTCTACCCTTTTACCTTGGTCAAGTGCCAAACTCTTTATAGCCACAAAAACAACAGACCAGTTCCTGAGAGAGTGGGAGAAAAATCTGGAGCAGGTGAAAAACATGACAAAAAGAGGCTGCATTCAAATTATATGTACAAAAATCAAAGGGAAAACTAAAAGCAGAAAATAAATGATTCAAACAAATATGACAGGTACCATTTTTAACAGCTAAAAAGCTCTAATGGTTAAGAAAATTCTAATCCCATCAAGATCCTTAAAATTTATCATCATAAATATAAAAAAGTCACTAATAAGTAAATAAAATTAAATTTAAAAATGTTTCAATTGTAGGAAACTGCCCCATTGATTATGCCCAAAACAGGCTGTAAGCAGTGCAGGCTGTAAAGAGTTCACCTGGCAATTGGCTTAAGAAGTAAGTCCACCAAAGCCTATGTGACTCATAGGAGCATTGCAGATGGCATGCAGGTCAATACCCCACCCCCATAACACCCTCTACCAACAGCCTCAGTAGAGGCTGGAGAAATGGGTCATGAAGCTGTTGAGCTTAATATGAGATAACACAGCCAAGGTCAGAATGACTCTTACCCAAATTTCCTTCCCAGCCTAACACAACAATGCTTTCTCTCATCTTTCATAAGCCTTTATTGCATCAACAATGTATTCCTACCAACCACACATAGCCCCCTCACCCCAACTTAACAGTGATTGTGTCATCAATAAATATCAGTTCTGGCTGTTCAGTGTCTTTGCTTGCTCAAGCACTGACTATCCCAGTTCCCTGTCTCCCTTTCTAATTCTGTCTCTAAGTCTTTCTTCTTGCCTTGTGTTGTCACATGGAATAGCAGATCATGATCCTTTGCAGGGGTCTGTGGTATTCAATATCATTTAAAATTTTTCAATTACAATATTTTAAAATCAAATCAGCAAGAACATGGCAAGTTGGACACTAGTATAGGAGCGTATTTTGATGTAGAATTACAGCATTGTTGCAAGACATATAAGGACATTTTTGACATAAAAATTTTAGAAACATATGGAACATTATATATCAAAGGTCTTGATGTGTCAACTTGGCTGAGCTGTCACCCCCAGTAATTC